TGCAGGGTCACACTCCTTACCTGTACGCCTCTTCTTCCTCCGTCTTCCCTCCTCTGTCACGGCCCCGCCTCCTGCTCCGTCACCGGCCCCGCCTCCTTCTCTGTTGCTGACCCCCCCCGGGCCCCGCGTCCTCCTCCCCTGCCGGGTCCAGCCTTGTCCACCACCGCTGCTAGCTCTCGTTGACTCAGCAGCGGCTGTGGAGAAGAACTCAGCGCTGCACAGATCCCTGACAGTGATCTGAACAGCGGCACGTTCGAAGCCATAGCGAACCAGGCGGCCCGCATGGCATCAGGGGGGTGTCCTGGTCGGGCCCCATAGCGGCTGCCTGGGTCGCTATAGCGATTGTTACGCCACTGCCCCTGTATAGTCTGGAGTTGGTGACCATGACCAGCATTTTCAGGTGTCCACATTTACGGACCATAGCCATCAAAGCCAAGCTAAATACATTGGCTTTACATACACTATATAGAACCTCTTGTAGAAGAATCCAGACCACGGGAAATGAAAATCCAAATTTATTAACTGCATATACATGGCACTTCAACAGCAATAGGAAAGTGATGGATTGTTTACATTTCAAGGGAATATTTTTTTTTATTTATTTCAATAAATTTTTATTAGCATATAAAGATGTAGAAAGTACAAACATTGCAGGCTCTACCAGAACAGATGGTAGGACACACGCCTCAGGCATTCAATGCAATTAACATAAGATTGTTACTAAGATTGAATACATTATGAATATTCCAGCGTTCAATTGTGGTAGGGTGCGTCAGAGTGTTATCTCTCATCGACTGGCAGAGACATGGTTCAGGCCAACGGGACCGACCAATAGTAATCAGGATTTTTACGAAAAGTTAGCGTGAAATTAGAAGTATAGCGGTAGATTGTAGCTTTAGAAGGAGCTGCTATACAGCCCTTGCAGCAGTAGAAGGATAAGAAAAGAGAGGGGGGAAAGAGAGTGTGGGAGGTTATGTGGAAAGGGCGGGGGAGGAGAGGGGAGGTTGGGGGAAGTACACATCTAGGTAGGGTTATGTGGCCCGTGGCCGGCAGTGGTGAGAGCTAGGGCACCTTTTCATACGTCTAATAATGTTCTATCAAAATTCGGTGAGAAGAAATGTGCGACCCATGGTTCCCAAGTTCTGTCAAATTTGGAGAAATTGCCAAGTAATTTCGCAGTCAGCTTCTCGTTAATTAGGATCCAGTGGATTCTATTTTTAACTGCCGCGATGCTCAGTGTATTGGAGAGCCAAGCTTTGGCAATAACCTGTTTAGTGGCAGTAAGGACATGAGTGAGAAGTTTGAATTCATACTTGGATATGTCGGGCGGTCGAACGTTCAGCAGTGCTTCGCTCGGGGTCAACTGTATGTTCCTCTTGGTGAGGGTGGAGAGTATTGCGTTCACCTGAGACCAGAGCCTCTGGGCGATCGGGCAATTCCACCAAACATGGAGGAAATCCCCCCGCGTTGCACAGCCTCGGAAGCAACTTGGCGAGCTGCCAGGCGTCACATGGGCCATGCGACTCGGCACCATGTACCACCTGTACAGGACCTTATAGTTAGCCTCTACTGCTGTCGCATTACGGGAGCAAGAGGCCGTGGTATCCCATATCTGCTGCCACGGTATTTCATCCATTTACCGGGCGGGACATGGTTTCGATTCGCGATGTGTAGAAGATGCCGCCCGGTGAGTAGGAGATAAATTTGCGTCAGTCTGGGAGGCTGTAGAGGCTATTCGGGACCCGGCAGGTACGGAGCCGAACTAAAACGCGTCCGTCCTAGCTCTGCGCGCGCATGCGCCCCCCTTCAAGGGAATATTTTTACAATTTTGACAATGTATTCAAACAAACTGATTGACAAACAAAATATCCCTCATTAATGCCAGCAATGCCCGATTATGTAACCCTCTAGACATCCAAACTATGTAAAATTCCAGAAGATAGTCTCATTATTTAATTCGTTCCACGATTCTGGTCGCGAACCGAATTGGTCACGAACTGAATCAAATTTCCCCATAAGGTTCAATGTAAATAAGGTTAATCCGTTCTGAACCATATGTAATTTTTTTCTTGTCAGCTTCATTACAGCTCTGCACTTTCTTTTTACCACCATGCTTGCTCTGCACTTTCTGGTTACCTTCATTACCGCTCTGCACATTGTTGTCACCTGCATTACCGCTCTGCACTTTCTTTTTACCACCATGCTTGCTCTGCACTTTCTGGTTACCTTCATTACCGCGCTGCACATTGTTATCACCTTCATTACAGCTCTGCACTTGCTTTTTACCACCGTGCTTGCTCTGCACTTTCTGGTTACCTTCATTACCACTCTGCACATTGTTGTCACCAAGAAAAAAAAGCTCTGCACTTTCTTTTTACCACCATGCTTGCTCTGCACTTTCTGGTTACCTTCATTACCGCGCTGCACATTGTTGTCACCTTCATTACAGCTCTGCACTTTCTTTTTACCACCATGCTTGCGCTGCACTTTCTGGTCACCTTCATTACCGCTCTGCACATTGTTGTCACCTTCATTACAGCTCTGCACTTTCTTTTTACCACCGTGCTTGCTCTGCACTTTCTGGTTACCTTCATTACCGCTCTGCACATTGTTATTACCTTCATTACCGCTCTGCACTTTCTTTGGAGCCATGCTGGATTGAATAATACTGTACAGCACTGTATGTGCAAAAAAAGCACACAAAAAAAGCTTCACAGCAAGTGCGCACAGGTCTGTCGGCGACCGCGATCTCGACAAGAGGAAGCCCCGACCACATGTCAGAGCGGGGAAGATGGCCGCGGCCGTGTTTGTCACCCGGTTTGGAGCTCGCGAACGGAAGCAGAATTTTGCTAAACTTCCTGTTCGCGAAGCGAATTGTTGGCGAACAGAAGCGTTTGTGAATCGAGGTATTACTGTATCCATAACAAGCCCACTTGGAGGACAATAACCAAGAGTAATCTGTCTGGCGTGTTCTTACCCAACAAACTAAACCTTGACATGTCCACACATTCCTGTCAAGACATCGGTGGGAAGTGACTTCATTGCTGGGGCTGTCTCTCTGAGCGGGTGTTAAATGGCATCCCCCTCTAAAAAACTTTTAATACTCAGAACCAGGTATGGGCAAAGGGCTCTATGGGTGCAGTGTTATTTGTATGGAGTCCCCTCCCCCTATGACCATCCCCTTCATACAGTCCTTCCCACTTTCATCTCTACCCTTGTAAGCTGCTGGATTCTTTTCACTTTATCTGGCATTAAATGTAACATCACATTGTATGAAGAATAACGAGCTCCAGGCCACAAATCTCCTGTGTATAGTGCCAATCTCTTGTGACTTATTCATTATATTCATATCAGAAGCAGTGTGTAGGAGGAGACCCAAAACACTTGTTTTTAGCATATTTGTTATTGTACTTTCAGTGTATCGGACACACACAGTAGGTATGGGCTCTGTTCTCAGTATAAAATAAAGCAATATCTACAATTCTTGTAAAAATGAAGATAAAGAATGTGTATACATATTTCTTTTTTCATAAAACTCCCAACCTCTATGACGGTCTAAGGCTGAGCATGTAGAGGACGATTCAAGCGATTTCATGACGATTGAACAAAGAATTGCAACATTCAAGGTCCAGAAATAACCAATAAGATATTGGTGAAAATGGTTTTCCAGCACTCGGAGAAGCAGAGGAGGACTGAGAACTAGGGATGCACCGATACTGGTTTTGCGGTATCGCGTACGAGCACCAAAAAAAATTTCCGTTACTCACCGATACCAAATACCGATACTGGAAGTCCCATTAAGGTAGCCAGGTGGCGTGTAAAGACCCGCCACCCGGCTTCCCGATTAGCAGGGAAGCCGTCCCCATGCTTCTTGTCATTAGGTGACGAGAAAGCATGGAGCCGGCTTTCTGGCCAATCAGGAAGCCGGGAGCCGTTTAATAATGTGGTGCCCGGCTCCCTGATTGGCCGTGAAGCCGGCTCCATGCCCCCTCTTCATGAGCTGACGAGGAGCATGAAGCCGGCTTTCCGACCAATCAGAAAGCCGGGTAGCGCGGCATTACACTGCGCCCGGCTTCCTGATTGGCCAGCTTCCCGACCAATCACGAAGCCGGGCAGCGAGTCATTACACGATGCCCGGCTTCCTGATTGACCGGGAAGCCGGCTCCATGCTCTCTCGTCACAATTGAAGAGCTTTTAGCACCCTGGGACGCTCCCACCGGAAAGAGGGTGGGAGGCACACCTGCTGCCACCCCCTCCACGTGATCCAAATAGATGCCACCTGAGGCAACCACCTCAGACTGCCTCATTAGGGTTGGCCCTAGCCTGGGAAGATAATTAAAATGAATGCTAGTGCTATGGAGCTGACACTATAATTTGCAACAACCTTTAATTTTATGAGCTACAATACCCTAAAAAAAACTCAGCTTTTGGTTTTGAAGAGAATGGACACACCCCCATCTGCCTCCCACAATGCTCAATGATTGACCAACCAATCACCAGGTTTAAGCAAAGTCATGTGATGGGTGCGTAGGCCTTACATAGGAATTTCAGGAGCTCTAGTGGCCTTCTGGGAAGACCAAGATGTCATAAGAATGGTAAACATTAGGGTGCCAGCTGTACAATGATATCATTATATTTTAATATGTACGTAATATGACATTAGCTAAAGGTTTAATTTAAGCTTGCCATGGATGTTGGGTGATGGGTCAACATTTTCATATCTAAGGGCTGAAACCAATGCCCCTGGTTGCCGGATCTTAAGTAGAGGACCTCTACTAGAAGTGGCTACCTGCTTTTCTCACTATAACATCAACATGCACGCTTGGATGATTCCTCCATTGATGTCTCTGTGACAGTTGGCTGACAGAGTCCTTCAGATAGGCCTGAACATCTGACCACCGTCTAATATCTACAGCAATACCTACTTGGCTTCAACCTCTTCCTTCTCCTTCCTCCTGTGGGACCTAAGATGTGAAATGAGCGATGATTTCCTTGAGAACTTTCTCCCACATTCAGAGCAGGAAAATGGTTGAACACCGGTGTGGACTCTCTCATGTCTAACCAGATTTGACCTTTGCGCGAAGCCCCTCCCGCACTCGGAACAGGAGTAAGTGCGATTGCCGGTGTGGATTCTCTGATGGGCGGCTAGGTTGGATTTATCAGAAAAACATTTGCCGCACTCGGTGCATAAAAATGGACGGTCTCCCGTGTGTATTCTTTGATGAGCAACCAGATTGGGCCGTCCACTGAAACATTTGCCGCATTCAGAACACAAATATGGCTTCTCCCCCGTGTGGGACCTCAGGTGTGAGATGAGGTGTCCTCTCCGGGAAAAACATTCTCCACATTCAGAACAGGAGAATGGTTTCTCGGACCTGAGAGCTCTCTCGTGGTTTACTAGGAGCCACCTTTCTAAAAAACATTTGCCGCACTCCACGCAGGAAAATGGCTTTTCCCCCGTGTGGCCCCTCTGGTGTCTAATAAGTTGGTTTTTCCAAAAATATCTTTTCCCACACTCCGAACAGGAAAAGAGCTTCTCGGATGTGTGGGACCTCTTGTGTTTGGCAAAATCCGACTTTTGTCTGAAACACTTCCCACATTCCGAACATGTGAAAGGCCGTTGGCCCGTATGACGAGTCTGGTGTCTGATAAGCTGGTCTTTAGAAGAAAAATATCTGCCACACTCCAGACATGAATATGGCTTTTCCCCTGTATGCGACCTCTTGTGGGACATGAGGATCCCCTTGCGGGAAAAACACCTCCCACACTCGGAACAGGAGAATGGCTTCTCAGTCGTGTGGGTTACTTCATGGTTAATAAGGTGCGACCTGGTGGTGAAACACTTTCTACATTCAGAACATGAGTATGGCTTCTCCCCTGTGTGAAGCCTTTCATGTGTGATGAGAGATGACTTCCGTGTGAAACATTTCCCGCATTCGAAGCATGAAAATGGCTTCTTGGCTTTGTAAGTTCTCTGGGGTTCTGCAAACGTTGCTCCCTCTATAACATGTTCTTCAGGCAGAGATGACAAGAGTTTATCAGCACTGTCAGATGTTGGATGAAGGTTTGGGTTGATGAGGTCTTCGTCTGAAGGATCACATGTGACCTCATCATTTTCTACTTCGACATCAAGACACATGAAAGGTCGTCGTTTGGTGCCGTACTTCCTGTATTGTCCATCTGGGGGCAGGGGAGAAAATACAGGAATAAAGTAAGTTTCAGGAGTTATATGAGATCAACAATTACGAGAGCCAAACCATAGAAGATGGAGATATTCTACATCCCATCCTGTGCCATTATGATTTGTAACTTGCACCAAGCTTTCCAAGCCAATGTATAAGTCCCTCAAGTCTAATAGAGGCTGATAGCTCCTGACTCCCCCCACTAAACACATTCCGTCCCCCCAATTACTGACAGAGGAGGGGGGAGAAGAAGAGATTGTTGTAGAGACTGAACAAGGAGAATCTGCGACTCTTTTCTGGATTTAATGATTATTGCTCACCTGTGCCGATCTCCGGAGGAACGTCCTCCTCCTTACACGGCTCATCATCCCACGTATTTGGGACTTCTGCTTCCTCTTTCACTTTAATCAAGGTTTGATCCTGAATAATAAAAAAACAACCCAAATAATAAACTGAATAAACCAATATCTTCATACACTGTTATCTAACCATATGGAACATCTGCACATTCGGACTTCTAGGATAAAAGCTATACACTGCCGGCTATTGTGCTGACACTGTCCTTCCTTCTGGAGGGGGGCTACTTTTGTGTCCCATGGTCCCTGTGTGTGTTCTAAAGTAGTCACCGCTCCAAGCTCGCTCCTGTGATGGACTGCAATCTCAATACAAATTGGTTAACTAAACATGAGATTGTAGTCCATCACAGGAGCGAGCTTGGAGCGGTGACTACTTTACAACATACAGAGAGACCATGAGGATCAAAAGTAGTCACCCTCCAGAAGGAAGGACAGTGTCAGCACCAATTCAGAGATGATTGGAGGATCTACAGCCGAGTGATACACAAATAAGATACATTTCTGTTAATAGTTAAGGGACTTGAATGCATTTGTAAGAATTAACTCCTGAGTTTAGAGTCACTTTAAAGAGTGTATGGCCATCTTAAGCTGCCTACATAGATTAAAAACTCTGGACATTGTACAACAGTGTCTACAGTCCTGGGTGATGGCTGCATAATTCATTTATGGACCCTACATGGGGAGATCATTAATAGGTTAGCTCTAAACTCATTAATGAACCCCAATAAATGGGCTCTGTATATCAGAAAATGTAGAATCTATGGAGGAGACTTTGGAAGACAGATGCAGGGAAAGGCAGTACAAAATATAAACAGATTAAGATTACTGGGCAGCAAATTGCTGTACGTTTCCTGGTGCTGGTATAAAGCTCCCTGTCTAAGAGGACCACACAGAGGATCAAGACAATACGTCTATAGCAAATGTACGCAAAATGGTTGCAAATTATTTTCCAGACCTTGCTTTGGTTGTCAAATGAGCTTAATTTTGTGTCGGTGTTCTATCGAAAGCTCCAACTCATCGAGATCTCCAACTACCTCACTTCTGGTGCTCAGAAAGTCTGGAGCTCTGCACAGATGCGCTGCGCATGCGTGCATAGCATTTTCGGGATACTCGTTGAGTTTGCCACCTGCTGAATATTGTTAAAATGCAGCTGCACAGAGCTCCGCCAGTCTTTGTGTTTTGCAGTCTAACGCCGTCTGGTAAAAATCTCCAACTCGCAAGTACCGGGCAGTGATGTAGTTGGAGATTTCGACGAGTTGGAGCTTTCGATAGAACACCGGCAGCAAAAGTTCACACAGCAGGTTTCGGCTTGAAGCTGGTCTCAGCCAGAAAAGCATAATCACCAGTTCCAGCATTCATAACAAAGGTGCCCTGTCTACAGGAATAAAACAGAACACATCTCGGCAAAACAACATGCTCTGACATCCCTAAGGTTAGAAATAAAACACAACTGGTATATGCATTGGATAAAAGTTTCATTCTCTTTTTTGCCTTTGCATATCTCTCCTCTCTCCCTTTATTATTGTCTTTGTTCCCATCTACCTGACAATCCTGGGTGATCCTTTGACATTCCTGTGTGGAGTCCCGGGAATACAGAGGATGGGTCTGAGGGATCTCCTGATGTTCCTGTGTGGAATCCCGGGAATACAGAGGCCGGGTCTGAGGGACCTCCTGATGTTCCTGTGTGGAATCCCGGGAATACAGAGGACGGGGACATCTTTCAGGTGTATTTCTGTTCCCGGATCCATCTGTAGGAAACACACATATGGTCAGTTTGGTTGCCTGATAAAGATCATCAGAAGGCAGAGGCGAGAAGAGTTCTGTTATGCCAGCATTTTAAAATGTGAGGAAAGATGTCATTAGAGGACACTTAGCTAAGATCCTGCTACGTGTGATCCTGCTACGTGTGATCCTGCTACGTGTGATCCTGATACGTGTGATCCTGCTATGTGATCCTGCTGCGTGTGATCCTGCTGCGTGTGATCCAGCTACGTGTGATCCTGCTGCGTGTGATCCAGCTGCGTGTGATCCTCATACGTGTGATCCTGCTACGTGATCCTGCTACGTGTGATCCTGATACGTGTGATCCTGCTACGTGATCCTGATACGTGTGATCCTGCTACGTGTGATCCTGCTACGTGTGATCCTACTACGCGATCCTGCTACGTGTGATCCTGCTACGTGTGATCCTGATACGTGTGATCCTGCTACGTGATCCTGCTACGTGTGATCCTGCTGCGTGTGATCCTGCTACGTGTGATCCTGCTACGTGATCCTGCTACGTGTGATCCTGATACGTGTGATCCTGCTACGTGATCCTGATACGTGTGATCCTGCTACGTGTGATCCTGCTACGTGTGAGCCTGCTACGTGTGATCATGATACGCGTGATCCTGCTACGTGTGATCCTGCTACGTGTGATCCTGCTACGTGTGATTCTGATACGTGTGATCCTGATACGTGTTATCCTGCTACCCCCAGTGAACTGCATGCAACCACAGAGATCTTTGAATAAACCGGGTCCGTTCTCACACATGACCATCACACTATGCACCACTTTACCATTCACAAAAGAACAAGACATACATGGAACAGGAGCATTGATGACCTGATACTTCATCAACTGTCAGAATGCTCAAAATCAAAACTAGATTAAGAATGAAAGAAGCAGTACAAGGAGCCAATCAGCTCATATACTGAAAGCATCATGCTGATAGGAAGATAAAGCAGAGTGACAGGGAGAGGAGCTCATCACTGTGCTGCCTGGGCACAGAGGAAGTATGTTGAATGATGGTGGCCGTCGTTCAACAGAGGAAGCTGAGGACCACTAGTGGTAGAAGGCCCTTCTATGAAAAAGTAAAAGCATTCAGTGTATGGTGTTTGAACTTTACCTGTGATGATCTCCGGAGGAACTTCCTCTTTAATCTTCACATATCCTTCCTTCTCCTCAGCTTTGATGTCTCTCCGAGTGTCTCCGGGGTCTGTGAATAAAGATGAGAGTGAAGCCCCCTGTGCTGAGATGTATGAAAGACCCCAGAGAGTGTGTGTGGGGAGACTGGTCACGTCTCTTGGCTGGTAACACACAATGACATGATGTGAGGAGGAGGAGCCGGAGTCTAATAGAGGCTGATGGCTCCTGACTCCCCCCACTAAACACATTCCGTCCTCCTATTACTCTACTGACAGAGGAGGAGGGAGAAGAAGAGATTGTTATAGTGACTGAACAAGGAGAATCTGGGACTATTTTCTGGATTTAGTGTTAATTACTCACCTGTGCCGATCTCTGGAGGGATTTCTGCTTCCATACATAGGTCATCATATGTTACATAAGGCTCTTCATCATCATCTTCAACTTTAACAACGATCAGATCTTCATCCTACACAGTATATTGTGATTTCAACAGTTCTGATACAGGAAGAAAAAGAAGTTCACTTTTAGTGAGGACTCAAAGTCCCATCTACCTGACCATTCTGAGGGATCTCTTGATGTTCCTGTGTGGAATCCCGGAAATACAGAGGACGGGTCTGAGGGATCTCATGATGTTCCTCTGTGGAATCCCGGAAATACAGAGGACGGGTCTGAGGGATCTCATGATGTTCCTCTGTGGAATCCCGGGAATACAGAGGACGGGTCTGAGGGATCTCCTGATGTTCCTGTGTGGAATCCCGGGAATACAGAGGACGGGTCTGAGGGATCTCCTGATGTTCCTGTGTGGAATCCTGGGAATACAGAGGACGGGGACATCTCTCTGGGGTATTTCTCTTCCTGGATCCATCTGTAGGAAACACACACACTGACTGAATACAATGTTTCTATGTCTTTATAGCAGAGGATGTGTGTATCTAGGGGGACCCTCAATACTCTTCTCTCCTTTACAAGAAATGAAAGTCTCCTCTTACCCGGTGACGTGAGGGCCGTCCAGTTCTCCATGATGACATCTTTGCATGGGTCATTGGTTTCTTCTCATTTTTCTTTATGTCTATTAAAGAAAGCCCTTACAGCAAATAAACCTACATATTAAAAAAAAAAAAATGAACTACAAAAATGTTCAAGTTACTTTTTTGGATCTCAATTCACTGGATACAGAATCTCATTCTCTGTGAACTTCTCCATACACTTGAACAGAATGACCGTCCTGCAGATATCACGTGAGCTAAGGGGGAGCTAAGATAACCTTCCTGCCCTGACCCATTACAGGGGGCACTATGTGCTTTGTAAATGTCCCGGAGGTTGACTCCTGTTCTAGTTCCTAATTCACAGGGGCGACCAGTAATTGCCTTCCCCAACTATAGGTGTATTTCTTAAAAACACATGTTGTGGATTTCTTGAGAATACAACTCTAACGCCATCAGCTCTGTTCCCAGAGGAGCTCACCATCTAATGTTCTACACATCAGAAGACTTGCAGGAAGATGATGATTTGTTTTGGTGACATCATCCCCCCATCCAGTCCAAAGAGAGTGCTGGGACCCCCTTCTCTCTTCCTCCCCTCATAATTAAAAGATTTTATTACCTCCTCCTCACTGGGCACACACTGTTCAAAATCACATCTCATCCAGGAGGATTCTCACACTACTGTCCCCTCATTTGGGCACCAGAAAAATGGCCACCAATCCTACACTGAGGACAACAACATGAAAACATTTACATATTTATAAATATATAACCTTCATAAAGTTATCTATAGAAAATAACAATGAATGAACACTTGGTCTACAACAAAATGGCTGCCACCCCCTCTAAATGGGGACATTCTATCTTCTCATTATTTCTTTAACGTCTTCTATGGGAGTGTTGCAGGTGTTCTGTTGAAAACTTTAATTTCTCTGGATCCCAGCTGCATAAAGGCATTTGGATGGTTCACTCTCTATAACTTGAATAGTTTTATGAAAGGTGGAAGTGACCTCAATGCAGGTGGGTTGGTGGCCATTTTGTTGTAGTCCAGATAAAGGGTTCCCATAATTGTGAAAACATCTGTGCCCAGTGAAGAGGAGTAATAATGTCTTTCTTTTATTAGATTTTTACTCATAGAAAACAATTATAATTTACTAAAAATATGTGAAAGTGATCTTCATATAATAGCGTTTGAATCTTAGATTTTTTAATACTTACCTTTTACAGTTGTTTTGAGGCCAGCCATGTGATACGCAAGGTACTTTTCCTCTCCTGATCTTCTCCCAGCGGAGGGTGGACCTTAATGGTGCTAAGATCATTGCTGATGTCATCAGGTAAGTCCTGCTCTTGGCATTATTACAGAACACCATATTGATATAGCCTTGGGGAAAGGTCTATGATGCCCTGCACTCACAGTATGTCCTCAATCCTTCAGGTTGAGTAGAGCTGGGCGTCATTCAACCTGGAAGACTGAGGACACCTTGTGGTGGAGAAGAGGTACCGGTGTTTTCATTTTTGGAAGTTGGTATGTATGGAATGGTTGGAAAAGCTATATGGAGGGATTAAAGTGCTTAGAAGGATCTGTAGAAGGACATCATGATGGAGAACTGGCCGCCCCTTACATCAAAGTGTAAGAGGAGACTTTCATTTCTTGTAAAGGAGAGAAGAGTAGAGTAGAGAAGACTATCAGTCATCGCTCTCCACAGGGATTCCCCCCTACCTTCTTTGTTCCTCCAGCACTCACTGGAGGGACAGACAGGGGAGGGAGGTGGGCGTACAACTGCCATGTGTTACGGTAACACCCGTGACAGGAGACACTGGCTCACCCTAGACACGGAGTCTAAGCACCATCTGGTTTTCACCAGAGCTCCTGATGGTGGAGATGGGTTTTGGGTGCATGCTGGTACCTGGTCATGGCCCACAGGATCGCACACTACAAAGGGATGAGAAAAGACAGACTTCAATAAGGATACAGTGGTCTGGAACGTGGTCAGGATAAGGCAGGGGTCCCAACGGCAAATAACCAGAGAATGGTCATACAGTCTGGGTCAGCAGCCTGTAGACAGGAGACAAGAGTGAAGTCAGATCCAAGCAGGGGTCGGGGCAGGCGGCTAGCAGAGAGTGGTCAGGTAATTTAGGTTGACAACAAGCAGTCAGTAGATAAGGCAGGAGACGAGAGCATAGTCAGGTCCAGGCAGAAGATCAGGGCAGGTGGCAAGTAGAGAAGGGTCAGGTAGTCCAGGTCAACAAGCAGGAAACAATAGGAGTATTAAAGCTCTTTGCACATACAGGAAGCTGGCTTGAAGACATAGCACCAGTCCCTTGCAGCGCTGGTGCTTAAATACCCCTTTGAATCAGAGGCGACACGCCCAACTTCACTTCAAGGCGCTCTTGATGTCCTCATTTTGAGGTTATCATTAGTCATACCAGCCCGGATTCTGTTAGAAGCATTAGAAGTTATGGCAGGGCTCCTGTGAGTACCATTAGAGGTACTGGCGGGTCTTCTGGAAGTCCTGGGTGGGATTCTCAAAGAGGATCTGTAAAACCTGGCAGGGACCCTGCGAGTACCATAACACCATGCCAGCTTTGTGTACGACTACATACATGCACCTTTATGGTGCTCTGCTGCCGGTAGTGACATTTAAAAACGCAGGTCTTCACATACTTGCTTGCTTGCCCACACCGGTGTTAGAACCACAGTGCCTTTCCTTTGTGCTTCCTTTCCAGTTAAACCTGCAGTATGGTTATAGTTATATACAATGTGGCTTCATTACTCCACTTTGTAATGGAATAAAAAAGGTCTGTTGGATTTTCCCATGGAGG